TCACTATTATTTTTTGCCACATGGTGGGCGCCAAACTGTTTACCGAGAAAATGGTAATAACAATTAAATTTGTTGATGGGACTATAAAAATACGTGATCTATTTTTATGCTAGTTGTAGAGCAGTTGATGCTATGTGTGTGAAGTTTAAGGGCGAGATGCGAGCTGAAATAAAGTTATAATCGAACCAACAAATGGCCGCTTGGGGCCTCGAGCTAGTCGATTTTGGGCCTCGAGGTCGATTCCCGAGCTCAGGCTCGAGCTATTAGGGACAGTCAGGGAGGGGCTAACAGATACGATAATATTAAAGGAGGCTCTTTATGGCCAATGATAAGAAATAAATGAAGAACAAGTATGAAGATAATAAAATATAGCAACAATATCGAGAGAGTGTATTAGAGAGAAAAGAGAGAGAGAGTTTTCATATATTTCATGTGGAGTAGTTGGAGCAACATCCCCTTTATATAGAAGGGGGGAAGCTTATATGGTAAGGCATACATTAGTTGTAAAGGTGTGGAGATGGGATGGCGGGAAGTGACACCCCGATTAGGGTTCAGAGTAGCCTTGCTAGGCTTTGTCAGACTTAGCTGCGTCTTGGAGACTCCCCATTTTTATTCTAGTATCGGCCGATATTTTCTTCAGACATGGTGTCGACGAGCTCCAAAGAAGAAGAATCGAGCGTATCTTTGCAACCTCGAGGCTCCGTGGCGATCTTCCGAAATGCCTTGATGACGGGAAATTGGACCCTCTGATTTTGCTGTATACATGCTTCATTAACTCTCTTTTATTTCCCACTAACGTTTATGTCTATCACTTTATTCTTTTGCTCTTAACTCCCCTTGCTCCATCCATTAGCTCTTCAAGTTGCCTAACGTTCTCCCTCTACTAGGGACGGGAGCCATATAAGATAATATTTATCCCTTCCATCATTTAGGGTTACTCTAACCTTAGCCGGATCTTTATATCCGTACTTCTTAACTACTTCTGTTAGCTCCATAGGGCATAAATGAGATGGGTGTGGCCAATTGTACATACCTCTGTTTTTGTTGAAGGTAACTAAAAAGGCTTATATTCCTTTGCCTGAGTTGTAAATACTCTTAACCTTCATTAACTGCGCGTCTCGTACCCTTCTTCATCTTGCTTCTTTTTCTTGTTGAAACTTGTATTTATCTTATGTATCTCTCATTGTCTTTCCCTATAAATGTGGATAGATATTCTTGCCTTAAGGCTCCTTATCAAGAGTCTTATACGTCCTAGTACACACATGATCTACTAATGACCTTACATTTACTTATTATAAGCATCATGAAAAATCGAGTTCTCTTGACTCAACTCTTCCATAGTCATATTCAATCTCTTACCACCTATCTTTCTGGATGTAGACATCGTCGTATTATGAACAAGATAGAGTTTAGAAAATTGAGTTCTTACAACTGAGCTCTACCACACGATCTAGAGTAAGAAGAAAGAGTGACATTCTTAAATTCCCTGTAGCCTCATGCATATAAGTGTGGTGCACTGCACACCCATAAACAAGACTCTACTACACACGGCTTGTGGACTCCCTAGGACAGAACTGCTCTAATACCACTTTTGTCACGACCAAACCGATGGGCCGTGATGGGCACTCGGTACCTTACCTAACCGGGTACCAACATAACATATCTTTCTTATTCTACTTTCATTGGCAAATGGCCCAAATGGGGCGTCATGGGCTAACCATAATAGACATAAGGGAATACTCAATATAGGACGATCCAACCTGATATATAAAACAAAAATTATAAATGTGACATACGGGCCTACAAGGCCAACATGATCATTTATAAACTCAAAACATAGGCTGGCAAGGCCATACAAGCATCCATATACATGACATCTGTCTACAAGCCTCTAAGAGTTCTCCTTCCCTTTTTTCGGAAGAAAGGTGGGATACGGACAAAATTGATGAAACGGAAGAAATCCGAGTGAATGGAAAGGAAAAAATAAAGGATAAATTCCACTCTCACCTTACAGAGATAGGCTATTATTGTAATTGTGAGACCCTTCTATTATAAGTTGAAAGCAAAGTCGATAGTCCTCGTATTGGTAATTATTATACGCTAAAAGTCTATATAAGATATAGAAGGCAAAATATGTACATACTTATCATAAAGGTCAGGACAGGGCCCCGCCATACCAAACAAGACAGGTCTAAATCATACTGACCAAACAAGCAACTTCAGAGCAAATGGAGCGCACTAATATCTTCCGCTGAGCTGATAGCCTACGTGGAAGACTCTCGATCTGTCTATCGGGACCTGCGGGCATGAAACGCAGCGTCCCCAGGCAAAAGGGACGTCAGTACGAATAATGTACCGAGTATGTAAGTCACACAAATAAGTACATAAAAGATATGGTAGAACTATAGAGTACATGACTCAACCTGTAAGCCCGGACAACCCTGTAAATCATGAAATACTTATAGTATCATGCATATGCGTATGAATATCATGTCGTGCATAGGTACATGTGTTCATCATATCATCAAGCCTCTGAGGGCATCCCATGATATCATCTCGGCCACTATGGGTAACATCATCAACGTGTACCAGTTGATCAGGTAGTGGTGCGTATATATCGTTGTAACCTTTTCCCATATGCCATATACATATATATACGTATATACGCGTATATAACGCCATCTGGTCATGGGTCAATGTAAATGAATGCAATGCATGAGAAGTACGTCAATAAAATCTTTCAGAGTGTCATAAGACCATTATGCCTCTGATTAATATCATAATTTCAATTAACATATTTTCTGAGACCTATAACAGACGATGGAATAATATGACATATGGGAATTCAAGGACATAGGCACTTCTAATACTTCTATGAATAGAGTCATTTATGGAAGTTGTGCACTTGCTCATTTCATTTGTATCGTATGGATCATGCCAAAAGGAAAGAATGGATATCCTTATCATACCTAAGCCGATTCTCTAGAAAATTCCTCTAACACATGTTAATTGTGGCAAAACATGTAACGACGGATCGAAGTAGGGGAAAATCCGTATGATATTCTTTCAGAAAGATTGTACCGTGCCCCCTAAGAATTTGTAATTCATGTTTGAATTGCATTATAAAGGGTCGCATGAATTCTTTTTGGAGAATTCCTTCCGTAATCTCCGGCAAGCAATTCCATTCCCGGCAGAGTTGAGTTATAGATGTGTCCCAACTTCAGAATGTACGAGCTCTGACCCAAAAAAAGAAAAACAACAACAGAGTGTCGTAACTTGTCAGGTAGATAGTCCTTTCTCGCCACAAAAGTGTGACGACTTGAAGACCACCCATTCATGAATGCTGAATTTTGCAAAGAGAATAAATTAGTGGTATAAAATCTTGGAAGGCACTATAATAAAGGTGTCTATATCTTGTCATGGAGAGTGACTACCAATCGTGGGCCTCATCTAGTAGCTTCCATACATCAAGATGACCAGCCATGTTATTGCATTCCCTTAAAATTTCACCCATGCTACTATACTTCTCAATGATTTGTTTCCTCCTCTGTAATACATGTGTTGCAATTGCATAAAGCAATATCCAATAATCCTTACGTGTAACAAGGTATGTCTTATGACTAATTTAGCATATTTTGCCACTTGTCTTAGCTTCTACCATGTGGCAGCCCCAAAAGATCCTTATCCGCTTAATACCATAATTATCCCCATAATTAACCAATTATCCACATAATTAAGAATTATCTCAAATTATTTATAAACTACTCCATTTTAATATACTTTATACATCCTATTATCATGGTCATGTAGTACCTTGTATGGCACTAGTCCATAAATACGGGGTATTATAGCTTGGACCGTATTTTATCCCAAACTGCCAAACTTCGACGAAACTTATTTTCTTCGATTTGCTTACCCTCTCACCTTCACGAATTTACTTATTCCTTCTTTGAAATAGCATAATACTTATAATCCCAATATAATCTCATTCCCGAGCTTACACCGATTAACTTATAACGAAACCTTAACGTACAAAAATGTGGGATGTAACATCTCAATTCCGAGATCTCATCAATTTGTTTACGGCATATTTTCATGTACGAAAATATGCGTTATGACAGCGTAAGCCCTCCCCCCACCCACTATCTTTCCCCTTGCCTTTTCTCTTTGTTTCCTCTTTCTTTTTATTTCTTTGATACTGCTGGGGTTTCACCAGTGGTAGTGGTGATAGCCTCCCCCTCCCCCACCCCCTTATTTTTGGGTCCATGGAGTTTTGCGTGTATTTCAGGTTAGGGTCGGTGGCTATTGGCGACGAGCGGGACGTGCGTGTGCAAATAGTGGAGAGCAGCCCGAGCGAGTGTCAGCAAGGGGTGGTGGGAGTTAGATGTGAACGTTCCAAGTGTCGCAACACCATCATGTACACCAAGACAATTCTCAGGTGCTACTCGCGGGAGTTGGTACCTCCCATTTTCCTATTTCCTTCTTTGCCTTAGTTAAATTGTTTCCAATTTAGTTCGCATTAGATTAATCATCATATGACAGTGCCTGTAGTTACAACTTGTCTTCTTCTAGTTTGGTCTGTGTGTGTTAGTAATTTTCTTAGTTTGTTATAGGTATAGTGGCTCTAGTTTGGGATGGTAGAGTAAGGTCATGTCCTCAGGGGGAGAGGGGAGGTGGGGCAGGGGTCGTGGGTGGGTCGGGAGGTAAGGGAGGTAAGGGAACAAGGGAGCCTATATGTTGAGAATTGGGTCATGTAACATATGAACATTGACGGGTAAGTTTATAGAGTTGGAAAAGATCCTCCAGAAGAGGAGGGTCAATATAGCATATGTCCAGGAAACCAGATGGGTGGGATCGAAGGCAATGACGCAGACGGGTATAATCTTTGGCGCTTTGGAGTCTGAAAGGGTAAGAATGGAGTGGATATCTTGGTGGATAGGGATCTTAGAGAGTCTGTGATTAAGGTTACACGGGTGAATGATAGATTAATGACTATTAAAATGGTGGTTAGAAAGTGCAGCCTAAACATCGTTAGCGCTTACGCGCTGCATGAGGGCCTAGATAAAGAGGTTAAAAGGCGCTTCTGGGAGGGGTTAGATAAGATTGTGCGTAATGTTCTGCCTGCTAAGAGGCTATTTATAGGAGGGGATTTCAATGGTCATGTTGGGTCGACCATAGGTGGTTATGGCGAGGTGCAAGGCGACTTCGATTTTGGGAAGAGGAACAAAGGCGGTACCTCGCTGTTGGATTTTGCTAAGGCTTTTAAGTTGGTGATTACAAACTCTAGTTTTCCAAAGAGGGAGGAACATTTGGTTAGCAGAGGGCTAGGCAAGGATTTTAAGGTTTTCTAGGGTAAGATCCTCGCGATGCATCATAGGCTCTTGGTGATAGATGCCGATATTATATTAAAGAGGAAGAAAAAGTTTGTCTGGGGTTGATCGAGAATCAGGTGGGGAGCCTTGACTAAGGATAAAGCACAGGAGTTGGAAGGGCAGCTATAGGCTATGGGAGCCTGGAGGAGCAGTGGGGACACGAGCATTATGTGGTCGACGACGGCAATTTGTATAAGGGAGGCTGTGAGAGTGTTGTTAGGGGTCTCGACGGGCTACTCTAGCGGGCACAAAGGTGACTGGTGGTGGAAGTGGTCCAAGGTAAAGTGGAAGCACAGAAGGCGGTGTACCTGAAGTTAGTAGGAGCACAAGTGAGGAGGAGAGGAGAGCGTGCTTGGAGAGCTATAATGTAGCTATGATGGAAACTAAGCTGGCTGTCACGGAGGCTGCGACTGCAGATTTTGGTCGTATGCACGAGGAATTGGGGGATAAGGGTGGGAGAAGAAGTTATTCCGGCTGGCCAAGGCGTGGGAGTGGAAGGCGAGGGCTTTATACCAAGTGAGGTGCATCAAAAATGAGGACGGTAGAGTATTGATGGGAGAGTCCCAGATTAAGAGGAGATGGTAGACTTACTTTCCCGGACTAAGTGGAGATAGTAGACTTACTTTCATAAACTTCTAAATGATGAAGGGGATAGGGATATTGTGCTAGGTGAAATTTAACATTCCGACAGTCACCGTGACTTTTGGTAATGTAGGGGAATTAAGGTTGACGAGGTCATGGGATCTATGCATAAGATGAGTAGGGGCAGAGCTACCGGGCCTGACGAGATTCCGATTGAATTTTGGAGGTGTGTGGGAAGAGTAGGCTTGGAGTGGCTGACTGGGTTGTTTAATGTTATTTTTAGGATGAAGAGGATGTCGGATGAGTGGAGGAGGAGTACGGTGGTTCCGTTGTATAAGAACAAAGGTGATATCCAGAGTTGTAACAACTATACGGGTATCAAATTACTAAGTCATACCATGAAAGTTTGGGAGAGGGTGGTTGATGTGAGGGTGAGGAAGATGGTGTCTATATTCGACAACTAGTTTGGGTTCATTCTGGGTCATTCCACTACAGAAGCTATCCACCTTATTAGGATGTTGGTTGAACAGTACAGGAAGAGGAAGAAGGATCTGCACATGGTGTCTATTGATCTGGAGAAAGCATATGACAAGGTTCCTAGAGTGGTTGTCTAGAGATGCTTGGAGGCAAAAGATGTCTTAGTTGCCTTCATTAGGGCGATTAAGGACATGTATGAAGGATCTAAGACTCAGGTTAGGGCAGTAGGAGGCAACTCAGAGCATTTTCCAATTGTTATGAGGTTACACCAAGGTTCTGTGCTCAGCCCACTCTTATTTGCCCTGGTGATGGACGCATTAACACACCATATTCAAGGGAAGGTGCCATTGTGTATGTTATTTACTGAAGACATTATTCTGATTGATGATACGCGAGCCGGTGTTAACGAGAGGCTAGAGGTTATAAGACAGGCACTCGAGTCTAAGGGTTTCAAGCTGAGCAGGACTAAGACGAAATTCTAGGAGTTCAAGTCCAGTGCCGAGTTAAGGGAAGCGGGCATGGATGTGAGGTTTGAATCATAGGCCATCCCAAGTAGAGGTAGTTTCAAGTACCCTAAGTCAGTTATCCAGGGGGTGGCCAGATCGACAAGGATGTCACACGCTGTATTGGGTGGGGTGGATGAAGTAGAGATTAGCATCTGGTGTCCTGTGTGACAAGAGAGTGCCACCGATACTCAAAGGTACGTTTTATAGATTGGTGGTTAGACCGGCCATGATGTATGGGGCTGGGTGATGGCCTGCTAAGAACTCACATATCCATAAGATGAAAGTAGCAGAAATTAGGATATTGAGATGGATATGCGGGCACACTAGGATGGATAAGATTAGGAATGATGATATGCGGGAGAATGTGGGTGTGGCTCTCATTGATGACAAAATGTGGGAAGCGAGGATCAGATGGTTCGGGCACATACAGAGGAGAAACCTAGATGCTCCAGTAAGGAGGCGTGCCGGCTTTGGAAGGCACGAGAAGAGGTAGAGGGGGCCTAAGAAGTATTGGGGAGAGGTGATCAGGCAGGACATGGCAAGCATCAGATTTTCGAGGACATGGCCCTTGATAGGAAGTTGTAGAGGTCGAGTATTACTGTTTACCTTGAAAATGGTAATAACAATTAGATTTGATTTTGTGGTTCTAAAAATATGTGATCTATTTTTATGCTAGTTATTAAGCAGTGGATGCTGAGCGACGAGATTAGAAAATAATATAAGAGATTGAAGATGGCTTTAGAAACCAAACCAAACGGTTGAGAATTGGGGCCTCGAGCTAGCACGTGCGGGGCCTCGATGCCGGGTTAGACGCCCGATCAAGGGATGCCGATGGGGATTAACAACTACCAGGGTTATGATTGCGGCTCTTTATGGCCAATAACGAGCAATAAATGAAGAACGATTAATGATACACAATAAATGTAAATAAAGCAATAAATGTAAGCAACAGAGTCAAATAGGGGGTATGTTTAAGTTAGATAGCAGAAAGAATGTTCTTGTATTGAATGAAGTAACTTGTGTGTTTCTTGCATATCAGATGTCTCTTACAAAACGGTAAGGAAACCCCTTTATAGATGAGGGGGGAGATCCTGATATGGTACAAGTGCATTTATTATAAAAATAACTGGATGATCACTCAATCAGTCTGGCGCAGACTGTCACTGTTCGCGCAGGCATCGTCAGAAAAGGTACTGCTCCTAGGGAACTTCCCGCCCACTTGTGAGAACCTCTGGTTCGTTCTACCCCGATATCGGGCAAGAAGAGTCCTCAAAGATTTTGAACCTCGAGCTATTTCCTCGGTCCCTTAGGGTGATATTGCACAAAGTCTTGTTGATCATGAAATCGGCCTTTCCGATTTTGGCCCCATATAGATAGTCCCCGCGTTTCTCAGAATGAAATGAAGAGAAACGATCTCGAGATCTTTCCCCTTCGACACTTCCATCGGAGCAAACAGTCGCGACTTGCCAGGCGACTGATGTTGCAGATAAGGCTTCTGAAGGTTGTGCCCACACAATCCTCAAAGTCTTTGGATCAATTAATGGCAGTTGGCTGCCTCTTGGACAACTCAATTGGGCTTCTATAAATACTCACGTCTTCGCCCTTTCCTTTCTACTGTGCTATCAAATTCCTAATAGAGTTTTCTCCTCTTTCCCACCTTCCTTCAGCGTTCTTTTTCCAAAGCGTGATTTTTCTGCTCCCTCTCCATGACCTTTTGGTAAAATGGCGAGCACTTCCCTTTATATCTCTCGGGAAGTCATGCCTTTCTCTTCCACGCCCCCCTCTGAGCGTAGGGCAGCAGCGTCTTCTGATGCTAGAACATGCGTTCCAGAGGTCTTTGAGACGAACTCTGATTTCAAGGTCGAAAGACCTTCTTCGAAGCCGGGGCGAAGTGAGCCCGTGTCCTATTACGTTAGTTTAATAACGGACGTTGAGAGGGTGAAGATCGACTGTCGCTGGGGAGATGCGGTGTTAGTGGAGATTCCTTCTTGGAGGGAGGATATAACGACGTATAAAGCTGACTTCCTCAGTGTGTATACTTATCCATGTACCCTAGGCCCAGCGGTGCCCTCCATGCCTTCGATAGACCCCGTGATCCTTGACTTTAGCGAACGATATCAAGTCACTCTCAGCCAAATTCATATGTCATTCTGGCGCATCATTTACATGACCAGATATTACGTGAGTATGATCGAGGGGATGCCTTTCACTCTTGACCATCTGATCAGGATGTATAGCCCTCGACTCTTTCGTGGGGTCCTGATTAAGCTTCATTGATGAGCCTCGAGGTCCCTCTTTGCTTGTACTGACGAGGCTAGAAACAGAGGGTGGATGAGCCGTTTCGTCCGAGTTAGGACATCGGACATGATTCCCTCAGAGAAGGTGTCGTTCCTTGAAAGATGGAACATGAAGCGTAAGTGGACATACCTAGTTAACTTCCCATTTCGTTCTTTCTTATATATTTTTTCATGGATTGCATTCTTCTACTGATACAACTGCCGCGGAGTATCCTGATGCGGTCAGGGATCTTTCAGGCTGGGTAGCCGAACTGGACTCGATATGCCCATACATTGAGCGCACGTGGCGCAATTTGTCGAAGGCATGACGGGAAGCCAATGATCGCAGTGGGACCTCATTCTCTGTTATGGTTTCAGTTTTACGAAAGATAATCCCCTGATAGCACCTGAGGGGGGAGAAGATCAGACCGTTTTGCATACGGTTGAATCGGCGTTTTTCAAGCTGCGGATTGGTTCCGTTGCATCCCCACCTCGGGCTGAAGAGGCCAACGAGGGTGTATCGAGAGCCGTTATCGAGCCGGTTGATGGCAAAAATTTTCCCCGAACCGTGGCGCGCTTTGTGGGTGGTCCGGGATGTAAGCACGTGATTTTTGCCCTATATGAAATACTCATGTAAAATCCAAGAAGATAGATTTTTTTTATAATTATTTGCCATTTTAGGAATTTTTATAGATTTTATTAATTGGTTGCATTTTTCTTGCATGTTTAATTTTACTTAAATCATGAAAAAATACCCAAAATGTCATGCATTGCATTTAGGATTCGTTTTGTATTTTTAGAATTAACCAGTAACTATTTGTTTTATAAAAATTGAAAATAACAAAAAAAATGCTTCATTTTTACTCTTTTTCCTTTTATTGATTTTTTCTCTTTTAATCTAGGATTAAATAGCTTTTATAATTTTTATAATTAGTTAATTAGTTTAATTTCACATTTTTAGATAATCTAGGATTTTAATTTACTTAGGAGTTTTTAATTTAGTAAAAGAAAAAAAAAAAGAAAAGGAAATAAGGAGTTTATTTAATTGGGTTTAAATTCGGAACTTGGGCCAAAATTAATGCTGAGCCCAAAGCCTATACCCAAATCCTCCCAAACCCAATAAACCACTCAAAGCCCAATCTCCCTACCCAAATACCCATTACCCTTTGCCCTAATCTCTCACGGAGCTAAGGCACAAAAATAGATCAGATTTTATCATACACTTGAGACCCCTACACAAGAGGAACGGCGCTCTGCTCTCCTCCTTAAAAGAGACCTAAACAAAATCATACCGGAGACCCCTGTTCTTCACACCAAAGAACACCGTCTCCCTCATCTCTAAAGAACGCATATACAGCAGCCCTCACATGTTCTTGAGCAGTAAGAGAGAACCGGCAACGACGCTTCTTCAAAGAGAGCTTCAGCGTTTCCATTTTTGGCTCGAATTCTTCTGTCTTTAACATTTTTGTGACATAAATTTTGTACAAATGTTTGGGATAATTAAGGTTTGAGTGTCAGAGAAGTAAAATATACAAGAACACTTTTGTTTATTCTCTACAATTCTAGACGTTTGGTTTTCGTTTTAGAGTTTGTTTGAGGTGATTCACTTAGCCGGCTGAGGTTCGGCTTCGTCATTCCGGTTCGCTGTTGCTGTTTGGCTGAATGTTGCTGAGCTCCGTCAATTTTTGTTCATCTGTGATTTTTAGTTTGGTGGTCGAGTCGGCGAGTCAAGTTTCGCTAAGGTCCGTTTTTTTGTTTGAGAATCTTCAATTTTTGTTTCATTTTTGTGCTTGCTCCTGTCAAGCTTGAACTAAAACGAGACCATTACTGTGTTGGTGTATATTCTAATTTCTCCTTTGTTTTGATATGTTGCCATTTTATGAGTTGAGATATTCAGCATGTGGTTAGAACAATGTCTTGAATATTCATGTTTTTTACTTGTTAAATAAAATTAGATATTAGTTAAAACAATTATAGAACTTAGATATTGGTTTGTAGATATGGAAAAATATCCGGGAACAATATTTCTGAAATGCTTCTATATCGTGAACAAGGTATCTAATTTGACCATGCTTAGGTCTCTAATAGTTGAATCTTTTGTTTGCTTGTATTTTTCAATTATTTTTCTTAACTTCAGTTTAATTCGCAAAAATGAAAAGGATGTTCATTATTACATAATTTTAGGATGATTTCATGTTCAACTCTTCAAAAGAGATCAGCTCTCTCAAAAGGCCTTTGTTTGTTTCTTAAGTTAGCATTTTGTTCACGTTAGAGTATTCTGTGAAGTAGTAGATGTTAGTAATTGGTTTCATTGATTTCCTTTGTTGAAGTTGAAAAATATTAATTAGTGAGGAA